AGCTGGCCACACGCAAAACAAGTCAAGCCTCCCTGACTACCTCTCCCAAAGCCCGCACTCGGCACTGGAAAGGTCGATCTAGCCAAACCACCCTGAGCTGCTGAGGGTTAGAACCCCTCTGTCTCTTGCCGTCACCCTGACCATCTTGGCTCCTCTTGGAGCCTCTCTTCATCCTCCTCCTGCATCATAATCTCCTTATGAGCTGTAGCATTAACCAAACGTCTGTACTCTCGGATAAAGGACCCTTCAACCCTCAACTTGAGTCCACGTCTCAACTTCCGCTCAAATTCAAAGCAACGGCGTTCCTCGGACGCCACAAGTTTAGGTACAAACCTGGACAGACTAGTAAAAGTAGCCTTAAACTCGGCCACTGACAAGCCCTGCTGTTTAAGCTGGCAAAACTGCTCCCTCAGCTTCTCCCGAGCAGTTGAAGATAAAAACTTCTCCTGGAAAGCATTCACAAACGCCTCCCATGCACCACCAACACTGCCCTTCTCGTACTTCCACCATTGACCCGCATCTCACTTCAGTTGGAAGGATGCCAAGGTCACCTTTAAAGTCTCGTCCTCGATGCCAAGCATCTCAAACGTTTTCTCCATCTGTTCCAACCACTCGTTAGCCTTAAATGGCTCCTTCGGATCCCCAACAAACTCATCCGGATTGGACCAGAAGAATTCCCTCTTCAAGAAGGAAGGCCTTACCTCAGCTGCGTGGGCCTGCTCCTAATTCCCAGCTCTGAGAATACCCAAAGCTCCTGTTATCTCTCGGGCCAAGGCACTCATAGCCTGCTGACCCGCTGGCTCAGCCGCATTGGCCTGACCAACTCCCTCCTGCTGTGCCGGAATATCATCCGGTATACCTCGCCTACCACCACGTCCTCATCCTGACATCCTAATAAAGGTAACAAAAACATTAGCACATTCACAAATGTGCCAAAGCTATTTCACTCGCGTCCTAATACATGGACAACTGTAATTCATTCCACGTAAGCACATAATCACATAAGTACTTATGAATTTCATTTCCGAATAATGATAGTCCCGAGGCGTTACTAGAGTTCCGGTTAGAAACAGTATTGATCAAGTGCTTTTCCAACAAGACTCCCAAAAATCCAAGGATCCAATCAACTTCCTAGAAACTACATTCCATACCCACATAGTCACATATGCATGTTATCCATTAAACACATAGCATATGACACTACATCTAAGTCTCTATCAAGCGAGACAAACCCATTGTGATCCTAATCACTTCCCATATAGCCATATAATTTTATAATATTTGTTTACAAAAATGAATTGTAACACCCTCAAAAAAAAATACATAAAACCCATCACTTTAGACATGCATTGATATAAAAGAAACCAACCATTCCTATTCATCAGAGTCATTCTTACAACTGTATTACATGTTAACAACAAAAGCAAATGCCCTATGGGCTTACAACTTTCCAAGTCAACACCTGGTTACACAAAAGAAGAGTACTAACTCTATACAAAATAAGCCATTGGCTTGATATACATGTAATACAAACAAAATAAACGAAATCAAGAGTCTTCAACTCTCATCACCATCCAAGCTATGTCCTTGAAGGTGGCATACTACATGTACCTGAAAATAGTGTCCCATATAGGGTAAGCCAACGCCCAGTAGAAATATGCTAAACACAGTATGAGCAATAACTAAGACATTAGCAATTGATAAATGTTCAATTTCCATAAATCAATTCATAATCCATTTCCATTTTATGACCGTTATGTTCATGTTTCATTTCAGTTTCCATTTCTTATCAATTTCACAATTTACATCAACGGCTCAGAACCTGGCCAACCATTTATATGAGACAGTGACTCATATGAAACGTTTCCCATTTTACAATAGATAAACATACTAGTTGAATCAACATTTCAACAGATAAGCATACAAGCTGTATCCACATTTCAACAGATATGCATATTAGCTATATCAACACTTCCAAAGATAAGCATATGAGCTATATCAACACATTATCTGACAAGCATATGAGCTGTATCAGTGGAGTCCATCCCCTATCTCCTCCCAAACAACATCCGGTTTAGAGGTCCATCCCCTATCTTTTCCTAAACTGTGGAGTACATCTTCTATCTCCTCCCCCACACACAACGTATATACACATAGGTCATATACACAATCAATCAATAACAATTCTAATAAATAATTGAGAAAATTGGTAATAAATCCAATATAAGAAGGGAGGCATTAGGTCCAGTGGATATTTTTTTTCAAGGCCTCAAACGGTGCCATACCGATGCTAGATTGAAAACTGTTGTTATAGGCAAACTCCACCAAGGGCAAGTGCCTCTCCCACGTCCCACTAAAGTCAAGGACACAACCTCGCAGCATATCCTCAAGGACCTGAATAGTACGCTCGGACTGCACAGATAAAATATCAATGTTTTCAAAAGTGAGCGATTAATAAATCCAACCCCACTATTCTACTATATAATGAGCCAATTTCATTATTTCCAACTCAATTCCATATAACCATAATTTTTTCAAATTAATTATACCAATTAATTTATACAACCAATTAGGGTTTTCTACCCCATTTTCCAATATTGACCCAATGGTCTATATATCAACAACCAACAACGATATCATTATTTTGAAACACACAATACACATTTTAGAATCAAAATAACAAAATCCTCTTTTAACATTTTGAAACCCTAAGTCCCAAAATTGCCCAACTTCAACACTTTATCAAAACAACCAAAAATCTATGTCAAAGACCATAAGAGTGAGTAGGAATCCCTACCTCAAACGATGACACCCAAAGAAGGAGATGATGAAAACGAAGTTGCTCCAAATCACAAGTTTCTCGGATCAAAATGTAGCCCTCGACGATCAACACAACTTTTACAAAGGCCAAAGGGGAGGGAAGCACTATAACTAGATCAAACCTAGAGAGAATGGAGTTTCTAGAGAGAGAGGCTCTCAAAAACGTTTTTGGAAAAGTAAGAGAGAGAATGGAAGTGTAGAAAATGATTCAAAAATGCCCAGCTGCCCTGTGTTATACGACATTCCCGCTCAAGCAGAAAACACAACGCTCGAGCGTCAAGAATAAAAAACGATGTCCGCTCGAGTGCAAGAAGGCCCGCTCGAGCGCCAAGACACAAGGATAAAGTATATCCGCTCGAGCGCGAAAATCAGTCCGCTCGAGCGTAGATTTTCATCTCCTAGAACTTTCACCACCGAGGTACTACCCGCTCGAGCTTAACCCACTTGAGTGCAAGAAACCCGCTCGAGCGTAGAAAACACACCTGCAGAAGTTTTGTAGGGACTTGAAATGCTGGAAGGGTGTAAACCCCGCTCGAGCGCAAAATGACCCGCTCGAGCGGACCACTAAAAAACTGGGCAACAGCAATGGGTGCCAAAGCTCTACCAACCTGTAACAACCAAGCCCAACACATCCTAAAACTCAAACAAATGGAATTAAAGGACGACAACAAGATAGACACAACTACTAACTCCACAGAACCAAGTCCGGAATGTAACAGAACAGTAAAGGGAATACCGGAATCGCTATAAGTTTCAGCCTAAAAATACAGAGTTTATATAGCCCAAAAACAGTGGGAAAATAGTAAGAAAAAGAGTGATTAAAGCAAGTAAAGAAGCAAAGCTTTATACCTCTTGAAGAGGAGATCACTTTCAAACAATAAAACCACACTTGCACACCCTCAAGAGCTCAAGATGGGCTCAAAGGTACCTCAACTCAAAGATGGAGAGGTTTGGTTAAGAGTGTATAGGTGTATAGGCAAAGGTGTAAGAAATTTGCAAGAGAGAGAGAGAAAACAATTTTGATCCAAATTTTTTCTAACCTCCCAAGCAAGAGGGGAGGTCCCCTATATATAGAAAACATGAACCTCCCTCAGAAACATCCATCCATACACGTGGGAGCAGATGCAAGCATCTGTGCAAACAGCTGGCAGAAAATATCAGCAAAACAAACTTGTGGCCGACAGCCAAAAGCTATGGTTGACAGCCAATATCAGTGGCCGGCAGGCCATAAGAGGTTGCAGGCTTGAAAAACTCTGGTTTTGGTCCAAAAATAAGGCAATAGGTGTGTAGGGTTTGAAGATTCAAAGCTGGGGCATTCCGCTGTGGACTTCGGGCACTTGACAAGCATATGCACTCATCATTAGGTGTACAAGTGGTGACGTCCAAGTCATAAGGGCGGTCAAAAATAGGGTGTCTACATATGCCATGTTCATAGCCGAGCCTATTAATTGCATACATGTATGTGTCGTATTAGTCATATTGCATTAGTTAGGAGCATGCATATTTTCTAATTATTTTGCTTTGTTTTGGCTCGAAGTACTAGGTGAGCAATTTTGAGTTTTAGCATCTTGCATCGAATGTTTGTATTGCCATGCCAAGCATATTTCCATGAGGCTAATTGCTTAAATGATATATCTCACTACAACAAAACTGAGTTTTTACGGCTCCACACTAACGACATACAGTAAATGTAAGCCGCGGTTTCTCACTTTTACGACTTACTTTTTTTGCATGTCATAAATAATTTTCCAGACACGGCGTGTCAATTGCGTAGGTCGTGAATGTTAATAATGATGATTTTTTTACGGCTTGCAAGATTAGCCGTAAATAATAAAACTTTTTACGACGTGCATATGGCATGCCGTTAATACATCAACTATATACGACATGCATATACCAGTCGTTAAAAATATTGAACATTTCACGACGCACTAAAAGCCAACCATTAAAAATTTTACACTTTTTACGACGCACAAAAAGTCAACCATTAAAAAATACACTTTTCATGACGCATATATGCTAGCCGTTAAAAACATTTTATTTTCACGACACGCAATTTCTGTCGTGAATCGTATAACCAAAATAAAAATAGGCGCCAAAAAAAAAGGTTTGAGCGGTAATCACAAAAAAAAAAAAAAAAAAAAAGAAAAACAAAATTTGGAGCTTTTACAAAAATAACTCTTTTGCCTTCTAATTCGTCTAATCAGAAAGGGGGCATAGGGTTTCAATCTCTCTCTCTCTCTCTCTCTGATGATGAAGGCCGAATGAATTGCTGAGGGTTACTAGGCTCAACTCATCTCCTCTTCGGCTGTGAATCTGAAATCAAAGGAAGGTTTCAATCTCTCTCTGGACACCCCTTCTTCGTCTTGGTCTTCATTTTCATCTTCATCTTCATCTTCATCTTGAACAGAACCAAAAAATCCCTATCTCTCTCTCACTCTCTGTTCTTCTTGAGCAGAACCAAAAAGCGCTACCCAGAAAACCCACTCTCTGTTCTTCTCACCCACGCTTCTCCTCATTCCCTTACATCCCTTACAACCGTTCGGATTTCAATTTACAACTCGCAAGGGGTAAGATTTGTATTCGGTCACTGTTGTACCGACGCTGTTTCCTTCGAGCTCGCAAGGTAATTTTGAGTCGCTATCGTCAATTATGTTGTTTCTCTCTCCTCCTTCGAACTCCGGGATGGCTGTTTTTGTTTCTTGCTTATGGTTATGTCTAGCATCTATATTGTCTCACATGTTATACCGAGACCAATACTAATTATCAGAGGTGTACGCAGATAATGCGAGCCTGTTGTTGTAAGATATTGTGATTGTTACTTGGCATAACTTTGTGATTGGTTTGGGCAGACCTGAACTTGAATGTTGGACTAAACCCAACTAATTGAATCATATGATACGGATAAATTCAACCAAACAAGACCCATGTGAACTGAACTTGAGTTGAGATAAGATAGAATCAACTGTGTTTACCTGGAATGCATATTTTAATAATTTTACTTGTTTAAGGAAATATTAGGGGAAAGCATGAGAAACTGTTCTTATAGTCTTGCTTTTTATGGGAAGGCAGTACTTTTTGGTTGATAAGTATGATTTATTAAGAAAGAGGAATAAGGGGTTGCACAACTTGTATTGAAAAAGACAACCTATATCAACTGTACTTATTTTTTGTTTTTGGCTGTGTTGGGTTAGCATTTTTAGCATTTTTGCTATGTTGGGTTAGCATTCTTCTTTATGCCATAGTTCTCCCCTAATATAATTGATTGATTTTGTGATCCCTCCTTGTTTTGTACGAGTTAGTTTGTGAAATTTCTGACAGCTCACTGATTCTCCAGCCTCAATCACCGCATAGCCCGTCATCCAATCAAAATCTCTCATCTCCTTCCCCCCCCCCCTCTCTCTCTCTATTAATTCCTTTCTCCCATTTCCTCTTCTCTTCTGAACCCATTTCCTCATATGGGTTTTTACTTTTTTTGGCCTTTCTCAAAGTTTTGTTTCGTTATATCTATCCTTTTGTTCTGAGTTATACATTCTAGGGATTTCACAGTTTTGGATCTGTTTGAAACTTGAAATCTTCACCTGGGTATTCTTTATTTAGCTCTTTTCTATAATTTCTTCTTCTGGGTATCACCAAATTCACTCACTTTCCAATTGGTTTTGAGTTTCCAATCATTATTTTAAAAAAGAAAAAAAAAATTAAAGTTAGAATTAGGTTCTGTTCTGATCTTGTGGAAACAGAGATTAATGGTTAACAGTTACAACACAATTGAATCATTTTAAGGTCTCATAGTTTTGGACCAATTTTTATTGTTGATAAATAAATTTATCTCGGCCCTTTGTGTTCATGGTCATTTTGGAGACATTACTTGCAGCTCAGATATTACTATTGTCTAGTTGTAATTCCCCTTAGTCATCGATGATAAGGTTGCTTTTCTTAAAGAAAGAAGGAAAAGACAATGTTCTTGTCTTTATCCCAAACCAGGATATTACATTCAAAAAATGTTTTAATCAGCTGTTATTGATAGTATAGTGTGTTCCCTGTAAATGCACTGTTTGTATTAGAAAAGAGTAAAAATATTTAATGATTCCTCAGATAACACATATGTTATCAGCTTTTAGAAATTTATGTTTTAGCTGAATAATACTAGTTGTCCAATATGTAAAATCTGATCCTAAACTGAAAACACATTACATAAGGAATTGGGGGAATACACTGTTTGGTTGCTGAAACATTACTCTAGATATTTAGGTTACTTTATTATCAAGTTATTGAGTGTCAAATTTATTTAATTATGTAGTTTTATTTTTCTTTTACCTTCAGATTCGACAATTGGCACAAGATATCAGGGAGTTAACAGTAACCCGTCCCATAACCATTTTCAATGGGAACTCTAACTCTACTTCCACTAGTACATAAATTTAATTTTCTTCTATGTTCTTTACTTAATTTCATCTCTTGATTTTTGAGACCATGGACACCCCCAACTTTGTCTCTGCTAACTCTTGGGATGAAAGTTTGTTAATTCTTAAGATGTTGGTTTGCAGTGTTTGTTAATTGGATTGGCTGAAAGTGTGTTTTCTTTCTTTCATTTTTTTCCTTGTGTCCTAGTTATGCTTCTCCTTCACCTTTTTGTGCATTTATTTTTGTCTATGCTACCACTACTTGTTTAACTTCTTTATTCTCTCTCTCTCTCTCTCTATATATATATATATATACATATATATGTGTGTATATCATCCATTTCCTTTCTTTAATTTACCAGTAAAAAATGCAATGGCTTCTCTGTATCTAAAGGGTTTCAAGCTCAAAATTCCCTGGCTAATATTTAATGATGAATTTGAATAATAATATCATTTGTTATCCATAATCCTCGTGGATTCCACAAATGTAGTCATTTGACAAGAAATCACTTTCGAAATCCATGCTGCCATGTGCACTGTGCATTTGAAAGTTTTCTTTTATCTACCTCTTACAGAAAATTAGGATATGGATGCAGTAGAGATACAGCAAAAAACAAAAAAAATATACATATATATATATATTTATTTATTATGTATATGAATATAAAATAATAATATATTGATATGAGAGACATTGATGTATATGTGGGTGTATTATTAATTTTACTAGTTTTTCCCTCTTTGACCCTAAAACAAAATATAATAATTAACACAATGTCTCCAAAATGTCCATGAACACAAAGGGCCATTTAGACTTGAGATGAGATAGCATCAATTGTTTGTGAATGTGGGAAAGACTATAACACTGGTGTTTGGAGATTGCTTAGTCATGTTGCGATTAAGATATTTGACTGGACTGTTTAAGAACAATGGCTAATATATTTTGAAGTTGGGGGTATTCACTAAAATATGCACAATACTTTGTCACATTAAACAAAATCGACGATTTAATTAAAAACAATGTGAGGGTGATCCAAAAATAGTGTCTCTTTCAGATGCGGTTCTAATCTTGCGTCAGATCGTCAACAAGTGCTTTAATCCTTTCAGAAATCCAAAAGTAGTGTTAACATTCTTGGCTAATATGCCTCATAATTTAGTAGGTGTTATCCTTTATGTTTCGATGGCTGGATATCTTCCAAAGAGTGAAAATTCTTAGATTTCAAATTCCTTCTTTCAATGCTAAGAATTAGTAGATGAATTTGGGAACATACACACACAATATGTACATACATATAGGTATATAATGTTTGAGCTAGGGTTGTGGATTTGTAGAAAATCATATATATAGAGAGGGAGGGAGGGAGGGAGAGATTTGTTTGAATTTCCAATCCATGTGGCTTTCAACAATCCAAACAGCATGCAAGGTTTTGACCCAGAATTATAAATCCACATAACTGGAATATAAAATTCGAACATAGCCCGAAGGTTATATATTTCTTAGGATTGAGCTCAAGCAAATCTTACTTTATTTTAAACATATCTATTTTTTATGTGATAATGGTCCTCTTTAAGCAATTGCTGTTTTGTGGTGTTTGATGTTATGCTCTTCCGGCACTCATTCCCTGTTCATTAAGGTCTTCATATTTTGGTTTTATGTAGAAGGTTAAATAGTCATGGGTAAGGGATTCAAAGGCAAATGAGTCAGGAGGAAAGGGAAAGGGAAAGGGAAAACAGGCAGTGTGAGGAAGTGATGATAGTGCTTCAAAAAGTAAAGGAAAAGGTGCAAAGACAGATGGGCTTGGCACCTACACATATGTCAAAGGTTGTTTCTTCCCCTTAATGCTGTTTTTCAGGAGCTTCTATGTTATTTTAACTGCAATTTATCTAGTATGTTGTTGAGTCTCCTGATTTGACTATGGGTTTTGGATTTTGTTTCTAGCAAGGCATATCTTATGTGAGAAGCAAGGGAAGATTAATGAAGCATACAAGAAGCTACAAGATTGCTAGAAATGAAATGGAGATAAGGTTCCACCTGCTGAGTTCACAAAGGTGATTTCCCTATTACATTGTCCATTTTCTTCTTTTTTAACACATTTAGTTTACAACTTTTACACTTGTTGGTCAAGGTTGTGTCAGTAGCAATTTCTGGTTTTGACCTTTGAGGGGATCATTGTTTACTCTTTCATATTTTTGGAATAATTTATGATCTTGATGGTGAACCTGATTCAATTGTATTTAGTTGGTTTTTATTTAGGTATTCAAGGGGTCCGTCATTTTCACTTAGCTACTTGCTTTCTAAAATGTGCTAATTAATCATGATCTCTTCAACTTAATGATTTTTATAATGGTGTTTGAAGTACTACATTACAAAACCTTGGTCATTGGAAACAAATTGTGCCTGATTATATGCGTGAACACAATATGCTCATAAGTTAACTAATTGTCCATTTGTTTGGGTGGGAAATTGTTTTCTTCATTTTTTGGTGTTTGTTACAATGCAAAATTGAAAATCAATAGAAAATGTTCTGTGGTAAAAATAAATCTAATTGGGCAGAAAATGTTAGCACTTTTAAAAGGTGCAAAACGTTTTCTAGATTGAAGTCTTACCAATGCTGCCACACTACCACTAGCACCACCACACTACCACTGGTACCAGCACCCCACCATCACTAGTACAACCGTTTAGTACACTAGTTTCAAGGAAGCTACCAAACATAGGAAAACATTTTTTGGAAAACATTTTCCGCTGAAACAAATGGAGCATAAGAAAATGATTCGAGTGTTCTCTGTACATTCTTCTAAAGAGAGTTTTTGGCCAAGATATTGTTTTAGGAACATTTGAAGGAGTCATAACACTGACATCTCTATGCTCCTTTTTTGTCTTTTTCTTCTAGCTAGCAGCGGAATATTCAGAGTGTCCATCAGGTAAGAATGGTGGAGACTTGGGATGGTTTCCACGAGGCAAGATGACTGGTCCATTTCAGGATGTTGCCTTTAGTACACTTGTTGGAGCTACCAGTGCACCATTTAAATCAACGTATGCTATTTTAATTCCAGATTTTTGCTCTGTAAACATGCTAACCATGTGTTGAGCTTTATCTTATGCTGTTCATGTTGCTCAGACCAGCTATCTCTGTTATGCTATTGATGGCACATGTATGGATACCACATTATCTTGTCTGAAGGGAGGAAGAATTGACAGAACTTGACATTTGAAGTTAGGCTCTCTTGGATTATCAACCATGAAATCGAAGACTTTGGCTTGATGTTGGCATGGCATTTAGAACATAATTGACTTGATGATGATTCACCTTCTTAGATATTGGTATGATAAGTCGTTTTCCTTTGTCATTATTATCAAATGTTATAAAGTTCTGACTGTTGGTTTTGGTCTTCATTGTAGTCTACTTTCAGTTAAAAATCACTTGATAATCAAAGGTTGGGCATGCAATCCACTGATCCTTAAAATTCTACAAAAATGATAAGGGGAACATAACACCTTATGCACATTCCAAAATTTACAGAACTCTCTCTCTCTCTTTCTCTCACACACACACACACATTAATTAATCAAACCGTCTAGCTACGGAAGAATGTAGTTTAGTGAAGGTATTCTAAGGAGAGTTGTGTTTATCATATGCAGGATTTTGGGGTCATCATAGGCAAAATTGTGATATCCCTGTTCCGCAATATGTTAATTGATCCTTAATATGAGTATGGTTATGTGTTTAACATGATTTTGTGTGCCATTATGTGAAAATATATGGTTTTGAATTTCTATCTGTTCATCGTAGGAATATCTGTTTGATTATCTGCTTTGGGAATTAAATTGAAGGTCCTATCGGCCACTGAAACCAAAATCGATTACGCCATTGTGATTAGCGTAATTTTTAGAGCCTACGGTGAAATTTAATTGGAAATTGATTCGGATCAAATTAAATTGATTTTATTAGTGAATTAGTGCTCTATTATTATATATTAAAATAATATAACAAGAGGGGCTTTTATATGAGCACTACACACTCAATTTCTCTTCTTTAGCTTGACTTGGCTGATTATAAACTCTAAGGAAAAGGAGAGAGTCGGCTAGAGAGAGAGAGGGTGAAGGAAATTGGAGTTTTGGCCTCAAAGCTTGGTGATCTTGAAGACACACTCAAGAATTTGCCATAAATTACAAGGATTAAGCTCCTAGGTGAGTAATCACCCCTTGGTTCATAAGTTTGAACTTGTGATTTTGTGTATTCAAGCTAGTTGGGTGATCAAGAGTAAGAGTTAACATGATTTGAGTTGGTTTTGTTGATTTGGTAGTCTATATGCACATGCATGTGAAGAATTGTTTTGAAATTGCATGTTTGAGCACAAAATGTATAATCCATGGGAGATTTTGATTAGAACTCTTATTTTGATCTTGTCTTCATCATCTAAGTTGAGAATGAGAGTAATTTGCCACATGTATGTACAATTCACAAGGGTGTAAGTGTTGAATGCATGAAATTATTATGTTGGTAATGAATTTGGGGTAAATTGGGACATGCATGGGATTAAATTGTGAAATTGAGCTTCATTGTGTTGTAATTTGGTGTTTATACCATGTTAGAATATGTATATGTGAAGCTTGAGCCAAAATCTTGCATTTGGAACCTTTGAACATCAAATTGAAGCTTAAGAACATGTTCTGGATTTTTCAGAATTTTGATGTCCGCTCGAGCGGGGAAATCTCCGCTCGAGCGTGAAATTCGTGTTCCCAGTATTTTCTGCAGACATGGTGTCTGTTCGAGCGGGGAAGTTAACGCTCGAGCGGGGAGCCATGTAGAGAGGCCTTCTGCTCGAGCGTCAGAGTTCACGATCGAGCGTAAATTTGACATATCTAGTACTTTTGCAGGCCTCATGAGTCCGCTCAAGCGGGGAAGTCCACGCTTGAGCGGGGATCCTGTTTTCTGAAATTTTGAAAAGATATTATGTGTTTCATTTTCTGTTCTCTTTCACTTCCAAGTATTCTTAGGCATGCATTGAGCATTGTAATTGAGTTAAAGAGATAAGAATGAAGCGTAAAGAGGAAAATGTGAATTTAGAACGGATCGAATTATTTGTGACCCTTTTGTGTTCATGGAATGTATAGGGTCGAGTTCCAGGGAAAACTAACCAACCGATCACTATGAGTAATACCTTAGCAGAGATATCTGAATTATGTTGTTGTCCAATTGCTTACTTCTATGTAAATTTTATAAGTTCATTGATTCGATTGGTGGACAATGTTTGCTATGCCAAATGAGTGGGCCAGAGGCCAGTTTGATCTGAATAATAGAATGAATGGGCCAGAGGTTGTTTTGACACGAATGGATGAGCCAGAGGCCGTTTTGACATGAATGAATGGGTCAAAGGTCATTTTGTCATTTGAATGGGCCAAAGGCCGTTTTGACGCAAATGAAAGTTTGAATGGGCCAAAGGCTAGTTTGTTTGGAACCGCAGTCACTTGAACTAAATTGTGTATATATATGTTAAATAGAAATATGAATTGGGCCTAAGGCCGTTTGAAGCATGTTGTTCTACATATCGTCTGTATAACTTTTTTAATTGATATTATTCACTGGGTTTTCGCTCACGCTCATTCATGTGTTTGTAGATGAGCCAAGAGAAGTCCGAACCCAGCCCCAGTGAAGTCTACGTGGAACAACAAAGGTTTTGGGAGAGTTAGCCCTTGTGTCTTACGCATGAGACCTGTCTTCGTCCTTTTGTTATGTATTTATATTCTGTCATGTTGGCGAAGACTTTGCATCTGTTGTATATAGTCGTGATGGGTTGACTTAGACTTATATGATTCTGTATGTATAGAACCTTATGTTGTACATATTTTGTTGTGAGTTATTAATATGCATATGTACGGTTTGTTATGATGTGCCATGTAAGCACAGCTCTATAGACAATGTTTTAAATTGCTTTCGTTTGGCCCCCATTAACTCTGTTAAAATATGTTTGGTTTGGTTCAAGGCCGTAGGTAATCTCTTGATTACTGGCCGGTTATGTCCTTAACCCACAGGGACGGGTTCGGGTCATGAAAAAAATGGTCTTTGATATGCAAATCATTAACATATTATTTGTTTTTCTAAGACAAGGATAAAACTCTTGTAGAGTTGTTAGTTTTTTTTCTTTTATCAACCTCTTACAGAAAATTAGGTTTTGGATTCAGTAGAGATACAACAGTATATATATATATTTATTTATTTATTTATTATGTATATTGTGGGACAGTGGTTTGGAAATACTCTTTGGATCTAATAAGACGCTTGAGATCCACAGCTAGTCACCTGAAAAGGAATGAACATTCCGGTCGGCGGTGTCGGAATTAGCACTCCAACGGATAAGTCAGTGTATACTCTCTTAGTTGTTTGTATTTTAAGTTAAGCTTGCTTTTTCTCATATACTTTTTTTTGACTGTTGTTCCTCTATTTATACTCGTTTCCTGGGCCTCTAGGCCTGGCCCACTTTTCTCCCATTATCCTCTTATTTATTCGGCTCCTCCCATGATGAAGCAATTATCACTCGGCTCCATAATCCAATAACTATTTGGCCTATTTATTATATTCGGCCTCCGGATCATACAGGATAGGGCTGGATAATGTCTATCTCCTAGGCCTCCAAGTGTATACTCGGCTCATCTGATTTCGCTATTATTCAGCTCCCACATATATGAATATAAATTTATAATACATTGATATGAGAGACATTGATGCATATGTGGGTATATTATTAATTTTACTAGTTTTTCCCTCTTTGACCCTAAAACAAAATATAATAATTAACAAAATGTCTCCAAAATGTCCATGAACACAAAGGGCCATTAAGACTTAAGATGAGATAGCATCAATTGTTTGTGAATGTGGGAAAGACTATAACACTGGTGTTTGGAGATTGCTTGGTCATGTTGCGATTAAGATATTTGACTGGATTGTTTAAGAGCAATGGCTAATATATTTTGAAGTTGGGGGTATTCAGTAAAATATGCACAATACTTTGTCACATGAAACAAAATCGACGATTTAATTAAAAACAATGTGAGGGTGATCCAAAAATAGTGTCTCTTTTAGATGCGGTTCTAATCTTGCGTTAGATCGTCAACAAGTGCTTTAATCCTTTCAGAAATCCAAAAGTAGTGTTAACATTCTTGGCTAATATGCATCATAATTTAGTGGGTGTCATCCTTTATGTTTTGATGGCCAGATATCTTCCATTTGATGACATAGACCGTCTAACCTTGTACAAAAAGGTTACTTGCTCTTATTCTTTTACATGCAATTTTGCTTCTCTCTAGTTGAATTAATTTCAGTGTGTGAACACTTTGCCCAACTGATCATAGAAAAAAAATATTATATTTGACAGATTGAGATAAGTCTAGTTATCTCCATCCTAAATGAAACCCACCTTAGCTTCCATAACTATTGCATAATCTTTCGTTGTTCTTTAACTTGTTCTTGATCGTTAATAAATTAGAACATGGTCAAAGCAATTCTTTTCAACTTAGCAAGTAAAGTTCTGGACAAGCTATTCTTTTCAATTGGAGGAAGAGACAGTGCGATTTACATTAAAGATTCACGTATCACTGGCTTGCCAAGGTAAAACCTGGCTTTAACTTTTCGTGATTGTTGGCTTGAAACACAAAGCATTAGGTTTCAAATAGTGCTTGATTTGTTTATTTTTTTTATTTTTTATTTTTGTTCACTGGCTTGCCAAGGTAAAAACTGGCTTTAGCTTTTCTTGATTGTTGGCTTGAAACATGAAGCATTAGGTCTCAAATAGTACTTGATTTGTTTATTTTTTTATTTTTGTTCCCCCTCCCCCCAAAAAAAAAAAAAATGAACAGGTACTTGACCATTCAATTTGTGCGGTTTTTCTGGAAAAGGGAATCAAATTAGAAGGCCAAGATTTTGTGGGTAACTTCAGTTTTCAACATGCTTACATTTTTTAAGGAGAATGCATCCCTGCACTGTACCCCTGTTTGCTGTGGCATGGTTAGGTCCTACCTGGTGAAGTTGGGGGTCAAGCTCCCAGGAGGACAAAAACCTTGACACTAAGAGAAGTCCTTGGTAAAAGCTTAAATGCTTGGATAATGGGTGGTCCATTAATCTAAGTTCATGCAACTTGGGCCTGTGACCACCTCTCGGATGCTTCATTGTAAAATAATGTACTTTATGTATTCTTTGAATTTGGCCAGGAAAACTTTGCAGATATTTTGATCATATTTTTGTATGCCCTTTTAATGATATTCTTTTTGGACAGTTTTGAAGTTGAAGATAATTTTTGATGTTTAGAAATATAGTTTTTGGATGGTTTGGAATGTACAGACAGTTTTTGGATGTTTGAAATTTATGAATAGTTTTTTTGATATTTGAAATAATATTTCGGTGGTTGATTGATGTTTTGTGATGCTTGTTTGTAATATTTGTTAGATTGTACAAAATTGGTCAAATAGAACCTACTGAATTTAAAAAAAAAATAAAAATTGCTTATTCTACGGCAGGCATAATAAGTCGTCCTATTACATATTTTATGGCACGCAATCAGCGTCGTTATTTGTCTCACCAATTAACGGCGTGCAAAAATAGTCATAGAAAAAGTAACAATGACGCACAAAATTTGTCGTTAAATATTTTTTAACGGTGTGCTACAGTATGTCGTAGAAAAAGTAACGACGATGCACAAAATTTGCCATTAAATAATTTTTAACGGCATACGAAGCATGTCGTTGAAAGTGAAGGACTTTCCAAGGCTGGTTATAATATGACGTGCGTTGTATGTCGTAGAAGGGTTTTTATGGCGTGCATTGCACGCCGTAAAATCCGTTTTTTGTTGTAGTGTCTGTTTGAATGCCTGTGGATGGAGGCTAATTGTCAAAATTGGGACAAATTGATTAATGTACAAACTCACCTTTTAAAGTGACGAGTATCAAAAAACAATTTTCAAATAAGCATGAAATCAAAGTGTTCTAATCTTTGCAAATTAGTCTATACTTATGTGCGTCACATAATAAGTGTTAGTCTAAATAAAACCAGAACAAGAGCATATAATGTAAATAAAAAACACATCATGATTAGTAGAGGTCGATCTTTGATCGGGCGAGTGGGGTGCTCAATTCATGACCTTCCCCTTTCGTACCTAAGTTCCCGAGCCGAGATACTTTGGTGATGACGGATACGTGGCCTTTGGCACGAATCATAGAGTTTCTTAAATTTTTCAAAAATATTTAGATGGCGACTCTGTAATCTGGTAAAGCTGTCCATTTTTGGCATTTGATTCAAACATTGATTTTTTGAAAGAATTGCCGAATTTGGACTCTTTTTGTGTTTTCATTATTTCACATTGCACTTGTGAAATCAGATTCAGAACTACGGGAGTCCGAACTGTAGTGCTAGTCATATCCAAAAGGAGCACAAAAAGCAAGCTACAACAGCTTCCACAGCAAGTCGCTCAATTGCGAAACGACCCATTTAGCCTCACAGTGGCTACGTCGTCCACTAGTGCCAACAACCCATCGCTGGGAGGAGGGGAGGGGAAGGAGCAAGCTGCACAACTACAAGCAAGGATGCGCCTGAAAATGAAATGCCAAGGCAGTCAGGCAGTGAGGATCAAATTCTAACGACGAACAAAAACTTAGAAGAAGGCGTCCTTGATCCTAAAGCGTCTTCAGATCCCTCTGCTTACTGGAAGTTGTTCGTAGGAGAGATATGAAAGCTCTTTGTGGATGGAGCATTCAACAGGCACGGGACTGGACTTGGGATAGTCCTTATCTCGCCAAATGGCTTGACCATTGAACAAGCTATCAACCTCGAATTTCCAGCATCCAACAATGTGGCAGAATACGAAGCATTGTTAGCCGGTTTGAAGTCAGCCTATCGGATGAAGGCCACCGAGCTAATGGTGTACAGCAACTCTTAACTAGTAGTTAACCAGATATTCGGCGAGTGTGAATCAAAGGTTGAAAAAATGACCAAGTATCAGGAGCCGGTCAGGAATGAAATCATGAAATTCGACATAGTAAGGATAGAGCAAATCGACCGAAAAGAAAATAGAAAGGCGGATGAATTGGCCGATTTGGCGTCGATGGCAGACACCTCTATCCTGCACCCTTTTTTAGTTGACTTCCTCTCAAAACCGAGCATCGAGGAACTTTAAACAGCCGAGGTAATCTGCGCCAAACTAGGTTCCTCCTAGATGGACCCCATCATCGTGTTCTTAAAAGATAGCATTCTGCCAAAAGACAAGAAGGAGGCCAATAAGATTAGGGCGAAGTCACAACGATTTTGGCTTTCTCCATCTCTAGCACTATACAAAAAGTCCTTTACAGGACCGTACTTAAAATGTGTCCATCCTAACAAGGTCGATGAATTTTTGTTCGAAATCCACGAGGGCATTTGTGGAAGCCACCAAGGAGGGAGATCTTTGGCCTATCGAGCTATCTTGTAGGGGTTTTGGTGGCCATATATGCAAGCAGATGCAGAGAAGCATGTCAAGAAATGTAAGAAATGTCGGAAGTTCGCATCAAGAAGCTCGGCCTCAAGAAGCACGATATCCTCTTCTTCATCTACCAATCGTTGTTGCTCGGCAGTCGAAGTGCAAGCACGCTTGTTGGGCTGAGATGATGATGCCCTTGCAGTAGGGAGGGCGGCGATGGTTTCATGCGGCTGCTTGAATGGGGGTTGCTTTGTTTGGATCTCGGCAAGAGCTTGCTCAGTGATAAGAGCTTGCATGGCTCTCTTTTTTACCATTTCTTGCTTTTCGGTACGAGAGATAAGGTTGATTTGAGGAAGGCTTGAGTCTGGTTCTGGCGAAGGTTTGAGGAGGAAGTCAATGACTTTCCTCCTCTTCTTGCCGTTATATTGGTAGATCGGCTCAAAGTTTTGACTTTTTGTGAAATCACTTACTCTTTTTGTGAAAACTTATGCCTTTTTGTAAAATCATTTACTCTTTTTGTGAAAATTTACACCTTTTGTGAAAAGTTATGTTTTTTTTGTGTTGACTTACGCCTTTTTGTGAAATCACTTATTCTATTTGAAAAAAACTTACGCCTTTGTGAAATCACTTACTCTTTTTATAAAAACTTAATCCTCTTGTGTTTTTTCTTTTCGTGAAAACTTACTCCTTTTGTGTTTTTTTATTTTTTTGAAAAAACTTAAGCCTTTTTGTGAAATCACTTACTCTCATTGTGAAAACTTACACCTTTTTGCGAAATCACTTCCTGTTTGTGAAAACTTACGCCTTTTGTTTTTTTTTTCACTTACGCCTTTTTGTGCAATTACTCATTCTTTTTGTGAAATCACTTACTCTTTTTGTGAAAACTTACGCCTTTTTTTTTTCTTTCCAGTTATTGACATAACTTACGCCATTTTGTAAAATCCTATGCCTTCTTTTGAAATTACTTACTCTATTTGTGAAAACTTGCGCCTTTTGTGAAAACTTACGTCTTTTTGTGAAATCACTTACTCTGTATGTGTAAACTTACGCCTTTTTGTGAAATTATTTACTCTTTTTGTGAAAAATCACTTACCCACTTTGTAAAAACTTATGCCTTTTGTGGTTTTTTTCAATTCTTAACAAAACTTGCACCTTTTTGTGAAATCTTACGCCTTCTTGTGAAATTACTTACTCTATTTGTGAAAAGTTACACCTTTTTGTGAAATTACTTTCTCTTTTTGTGAAATCAGTTACTCTTTTTGTGAAAATTTACGCCTTTCTCTGAAATCACTTACTCTTTTTGTGAAAACTTATGCCTTTTTGTGAAATCACTTACGCTCTTTGTGAAAACTTACACCTTTTTGGGTTGACTTATGCCTATTTGTGAAAACTTATGCCTTTTTGTGTTGACTCACACCTTTTATGAAAACTTACGCCTTTTTGTCTTGACTTGCGCATTTTTGTAAAATCACTTACTCTCTTTATGAAAACTTACACCTTTTGTGGAAACTTCCGCCATTTGTGAAAACTAATGCCTTTTTGTGTTGACTTATGCTTTTTTGTGAAAACTAATGCCTTTTTGTGTTGACTTACACCTTTTGTGAAATCACCTAAGCCTTTTGTGAAAACTTACGTCTTTTGTTACTCACACATTTTTGTGTTAACTTATGCATTTTTGTGAAATCTCTTACTCTTTTTGTGAAAACTTACGCATTTTTTGAAATTTACGCGTTTTTATATTGACTTACATATTTTTGTAAAATCATTTACTCTCTTTGTGAAAACTTACGCCTTTTGTGAAAACTTACGCCTTTTTGTGTTGACTTACGCCTTTTTGTGAAATCATTTACTCTCTTTGTGAAAACTTACGCCTTTTGTGAAAATTTATGTCTTTTTATGTTGACTTACGCCTTTTTGTGAAATCACTTACTCTCTTTGTGAATACTTACGCCTTTTGTGAAAACTTACGTCTTTTTGTGTTGACTTACATGTTTTTGTGAAATCAATTACTCTCTTTGTGAAAACTTACGCCTTTTGTGAAACTTACGCCTTTTTATGTTGACTTATGCCTTTTTGTGAAATCACTTACCCTCTTTGTGAAAAGTTCTGCCTTTCGTGAAAACTTACGCCTTTTTGTTAAACAACTTACATTTTTTGTGAACACTTATGCCTTTTTGTGAAATCCCTTTTTTTTTTTTTTTTTGTGTGAAAATTTATGGATTTTTATGAAATCACTTACTGTTTTTCTGAAAACTTAAGTCTTTTTGTGAAACCACTTACTTCTTTTGTGAAAACTTATGCCTTTTTGTGTTGGCTTATGCCTTTTTTTTTTTAAAATCACTTACTTTCTTTGTAAAAACATCATTTTCTTGTTTTGTGAAAACTTATGCCTTATTGTGAAATCACTTACTCTTTTTGTGAAAACGTACATTTTTTTTGTGAAATAACTTACTCTTTTTGTGAAAACTTACGCATTTTGTGAAAAGTTACGAATTTTTGTGTTGACTTACGTCTTTTTGTGAAATTACTTACTCTCTTTGTGAAAATTTACGTTTTGTGTGAAAACTTATGCCTTTTTGTGTTGACTTACACCTTTTGTGAAAACTTACGCCTTTTTGTTTTGACTTACACCTTTTTTTGAAATCACTTACTCTCTTTGTGAAAACTTACACCTTTAGTGAAACTTATGCCTTTTTGTGTTGACTTATGCCTTACTCTCTTTGTGAAAAGTTACGCCTTTCGTGAAAACTTGTGCCTTTTTGTTAAACAACTTACATTTTTTGTGAACACTTATGCCTTTTTGTGAAATCACTTATTTTTTTGGTAAAAATTTACATACTTTTGTGAAATCACTTACTGTTTTTGTGAAAACTTAAGCCTTTTTGTGAAAACACTTGCTCCTTTTGTGA